ATTTTGCCAGTCGGTAGTGTCATTCGTTTGCTTGTCCAGATCTTACCCTTCTTAATCTTGCAATATTTATTTCAATAATAATTTATAAATATTTTGGAATTGCGCAATTAATATGAATACAGTAGGTTACTAGGCCTCGCGTGACTGATTCAACAAACAACTATTTCGCTGAATGAAAATGCAAGATGGTTGCGAACCTGGTTTCAGAATCACAGTAGCTGCGCTGCCCTTATTTACTAAACGTCACTTGGATCACCTGCTCCAGTCAGGAATGGGCAGCGAATCTCGCCATCGCAACACATTAGCCATTCCTCGCCCTTGCGAGCCTACTCCGTTCAAAGGCGGACTTTCCGGTTCCTCATGAAGTTTTCCCACAATCCTGCTGGGCGGTCAAGCGGCCCAGTTCACGACTGGTGGTAAATACTGTTCCGAGTTTGAAACTGGTACCGTTCATCATTAAATCGGTCGCGGAGGAGGACTGGAGGAGGTCCCAGAGGGTGTTCAGAAATTGCAGTGTTGTTGAATATATGACAATCTCCAACATGTTGATGAACGGCTCGAGTTTCAAATTCGCGAATGGTATTTATGCCACCAGACGTGAGGTGTTCCGATGGACTCCCAAGTAAGTGTGGTTGTAGCGGATCATTACATGGAACGTCTGGAGGTGAAAGCCCTTAACGAATGCCCGCCAGAATTCCCGCCACTGTTCTATGTCCGATTCGTTGATGATATCTTCCTCTTATTCCAACGAAATGAGGACGAACTGGAAAGGTTGGAATGATTCGTGAATTACATGGATGGACAGGACAAAAATGGCCGAATATGCTTTACTACTAAAGCGGAAGTTAACTATTCTATATCCTTTCTGGACGTGCTCGTGTAGAGGACACAGTCGTTTGAATTTGAGGTTTTCGTTTATTGTAAACCAACTCACTCAACCAATACCTCAAGCCGGCGTCATGTGCACCTCTTGGTTTACTTAGGAACGCTATGAAGAACATGTGTTTACGAGCCAGAGAATCCTGTAGTATTGCTTCTGGCCTAAACGCAGGAATTCAACATCTGCACCAATCGGTCATGGAAGGAGGATCCTCGATGATGAAGTTTCGCACCCAGGCTCAAGCTTAAAGATGATCAGTTCACGTTGACCAATGGTAATTTAACGTTCTTACCCTAGGCGTCTCAACGCATCAAAAAGTGCCTTAATGACATGAGGTTTGGAGTTCAGTAAAAAAC